GTGTTGCAGTTCTTAAGAACTTGAATGTCTGTGCTGTGGCATGCATTACAAAATGGCATACATGCTTGGACCATCCTTCCAGTAGGTGGAAAGCTCTTAGGTGTTCCTACAGGTGCTGGCTGCTCTTCTGGTCCTGTGTTTCGTGATGAGACTTCTGGGGATGAAGTAATTCTTCAAAACTTAAAGCAAAGCCAGCAGCTACCTTCCCCACCCCATCCTGTCCAACCTTGGATCACTAGAAGCAGGATTTCCGTAGCGTCAGAACAAAAGCTCTGCTTAGCAACTGGCCAGATAATGAGCTTGCTGGTCAGTTGAAGCCTTCTCCAAGTGTTTGCTGGTTTCCATAACTACTTCAGAGCTGCAGAAAGAAGGGTGAGGAGAAAAGTTGAGCAGAGAGATTTAGGCCTACAAAGAAGCCAAGAGCAAGGCTTTCCATCTCATCAGAGTTGGAGGAAAAAATTGTCTCTATGAATTAGTACAGGGTGTGTGCGTATAATACACACATGTATAGTTATGTGTTTGTGTAACAGATTTAGCAGTGTTTCCTCTCTGAAACTTGTTTGTTGATTCAGGCTCAGTGCAAATACTTTCAGTTTGAAATCCTTGCTGCTGAACTCTGGCACTGAGTCAGAGCTGTTCTTCTGAGATCCCTGTCTGCGAGTGGATTTTGCTTTGCTCCTATAAACTAGGGTAGGCTTGTTTCATTTTGTAGAATAATTTAGGCAAAAACGGGCTGCTTGGGGATTTATGTAGCATGCAGGCAATTTCTTCTCCCTGAAACGGTGTGAGCAGCTATTGAGGAGACGTGGGAGTTGCTTTGCAGATTGATTGCAGCCTGTCTTAGTAGTAATTCTGCTTGCTTCAGCTTCACATCTGTGGGACAGCATTTTCTATCTGGGGCTGACCTTGGAAACTTATCTCAGAGCTCTGTGAAACTTGTACACTCATCCTTGCCTCTATTTTATATGTACAGATAGCTTCAATTTGCAAATAGTTGTCTTTACAGCACAAAGCCAGTATCACATAGTGTTTTAAAATGCCAGCAGTCTCTTGCTTGCCGGCAGTGCAGTATTGTGCAAAGGGGAATTTCTGGTTTAGAGGCAATGATGTCCTGCAGAGAGGGAGATGGTTCAGTGCATTGCTTGTGAGCTCATGTTAGTGAGATTGGCATGCAGAGGAGCTTTGTAGGTGCAGGACACCCAGCTGGGGAGACGTGGGAGCATTATTGTGAGTGATGACAAAATTCCTGTGGAGAAGGTGACTACTACTGTGACTCACATGCTGCTGTTACAAGCAGTTTGTTTTGTGCCGTAAAACTGCAGGGCAAGAGCTTCCTCCAGACTGTATTTAGTGTCCGTGTAACTTCTGCTTGCTGGTGAGTTTTTGGAATTGGCTGAGGAGTTGCTTACTAAAGCATTAAAACTTCAGTCGTTACAGCGCTCACTTTTCTCCTGCTTGTGTGTGCAATCATCATCAGTGTGTATGGCAGTGTATGTTAATTTTCAAGAGAGAAAGCAGTGTCACTTTATCTTTAAACCATGCTTACCTATCTGTAGGCATTGCTTGTTTTAGCAATATTTCTGCTAATGGCTTTATCATGTCAGCTTTTTGGGGGTGCTGATGAATGACACACAGTTTGCAACTAAAATGCACCTACTTCATGGGAAAGGATTTGCAAATCTCCTTAGCTGTGTGGAGCTGGTTGAGGTTTCTGAGATGACTGGTTATTTAGCTGATTTCTATAGTGACTGTTGCCTTGGCAGCAAAGGTCCTTGCTTAGAGAATAAAAGCACTGTGCAAGCATGAGGAAGGCATTAGGGATCACTGGTCTAGATTTTGCTTTCACAACAGTATTCCTTCTCTTCTGTAAATACTTCTGTTCCCTTTTCCCCACCTACTTCTACTTAGGCCTTTCCTCATTCAGATGCCAAACGGACACCAAAGGGTCTTTTTCTGCTGTTTCTATCTTGTCAGTGTTAATGATGAGAAGCAATGCTTTTTGCTGCAAGTTTAGAAGTAATAAGGAGTGCTATATTGCAAGCCAGCTTTGGGAGGAAGATGAGAGCTCTGTGGCCCACACAGCCATCCCAGTTCTGTACTTCTGGGGTTGTCCAGCACTTGCTCAGCAGTGAGCAGGTGGACTTTGAAATGAAAGCCAAGGTCATGACACGTAGCGTGGGTCCTTGGTTATCCTCCAAGCAGACCTGTGGGTGGAAAGTTGCAGGCTCCTGCACCTCGGCCAGCAGGCTGAGAGCAGAGTTGTAGGCATGGCTGGTGTTATTGCAGGCAGATCGTGTCCTTTAATCAAAGAGCTGGTTGCTCTCTGATTTGCTTGTTGTAATCAACTGCATCTCCCAGAAATGATGCAAAAGAGATCTTGTTCTGTAAGGTTTCCTAGTGCATGTAGAACCTCCTGGTGTTATTTTGGTATTCCAACCTCTCTGGTTAGATTGAAGTGGTAGAGGGAAGAGCTTCGGTTACCAGCACTCCCTGTTTTGAAATTGAAAGAGGATCTGTAAGTTCCTTTAATATTTGCAGTGAATGTAGAGAAAAGGTTGTGTAAACATGAGAAGGTGGGAGCTGGGAAACTTGCCAAAGTTGCTTCATCTCTCTCAGTCTCGTGACGGCTGTTTTGAGATACCGGTTTTTGTCCTGTGTTGTCATTGTGATGGTGCAATTGGTATCATTATGCTAATCACATTCGTATTTATAGTTCATTACCAGATACTGGCTCCTTAATGAAGCAGATCTGATGCAGATGGAGGGAGCATTTTTGTTGCCTGCCTGAGCTCCCAACCCAGTGCACAGAGCCCCAGTGCACATCAGCAGTGGCTGATGTCTTTGGCTTCTGTGGACAAGAGCAAACCTTACTTAGGGCAGTGGTGGCACCATGAGGCACTCAGATTGCTTCTGCAGACCTTACCTGGTCGAGCTTTTAGCAATGCACATTGAAGAAAGGAGATATTTTCCATGTGACAAGCTGGGAAAGAAACCTCGTGGTAAAGAAACTTGTTTTGCCTATTTGCCCTCTGTTTCAGACAAGCTATGAAATGGATGTTTGTGTTAGAAATGTTAGATGTTATTCTTCGTTTTAATTTTCAAGCTGAGACTTTCAGCCTTCTTCCGTGTGTATCAGTTACTCTGCCTTTGTGAAAGGTGCTCCAAGGAATTTATGTGATGGTGGCATGGTGGCAGAGGCTGGGATTTCACCCAGCAGGTGCTGAGCTCACACTGCCAGAGCAGCAAAGACTGGGACTCTGGGACTCTGTGCACTTTAGCTCCTCTTTGGTCCCAGTGCTGCCATTTGCTGTTCCTCTGCAGAGGGTGAGACCTGGATTTCTAACAGGGATGAAGGTGTGTGCCCATGTATACGTGAGATAGGATTCCTCATTTTTTAAAACCAGTACAGTTTCTTGGAAAAAATGTTTTTATACTCTAAAGGGACAAAAACGCAGGACTTGAGCCATCTATTTTTCTGCATCATGTCTCTTAAAGGCATTATTGATGGTGAGTTTAAGGAATAAAGCACGTACATGATTCAGAATTGACTGTATTTTCTTTAAGCAATGTTGCAGGCTCCCACAGTTTTGCTGCCAGAAGCACACATTTGCTACTTCTCGCAGAGCTGCCAGGCCCATCTCATAAGGTTACAGGAGCATATTATGACTTTTGTGCTAGTATGAGAATAGCATTTACAATTGGCAACAGTTTTTTGTTCTTTCACACTGCGTGTAGAATTCATCTTAAAATTTACTAGCTTAGCCCAGGCAAGAGAAGGTGTACACATTGTGAGCAATGAGATGTAATGTTGGGATTGGCTGCAGTTTTTTGCACCGTGATAAAAGCAGTTCTGTGTCTTGGGGATCCTGACTCGTTAAGCAAGCAGGAAGCTGCAGTGTTTTGTTAGGGGCTGGACAGAAAGACTGATGTGCTAGGAAGATAATGGCTAAAGATGTTCTCCCGTCCTTTCCAGCTTTCTGTGTGTTTGAGAAACTGGCATTTGCTCTCCAACTTATAAAAGTTAAAAGCTTTAATACTACCCCACCTCATGATGTGTGCCAAGTGCTCTGACAGTCCCACATCCGTGCTGAATTTGTAAAGCAAAGCTCGCAGAGGCAGCTGATGGAGCTCTTTGGTGGCACATCACCTGAGATGGGAATATTGTGGGCATCAAAATGGATGGTAGTGTGGCGTAGATCACGTCCAGGCTTTATGCTGCAGCCAGTATGGGACCCAGGAGCTCAGGTGCCCTGTGGCAATGCAGCACAGCGTGGTGTCAGCACAGCATGGTGTGATATCAAGCCAAGCTGTCCTCTGGTGAGAGTCTGCTTGGGGTGTGTAATGTGGGTTAACATGCATAATTCAATCAGTCCTGTTTTTCCATGTTCGGAGCTCTGTAACTAAACACCGATTTGCTAAACACCACTTGAATAATGAAGTGATCTGTGTCTGACAGCTTTTCTCAGTACATGTGATCCCACTGCCAAAAGGAAGAAAGAAAATAGAGCTGTATCCTTTCTTCCCGTGAATTTAAATAGTGAGGGTAGTTGCAAGGGAAAGCATTTATCGTTATCTCTGTTAGCTTTGTGTATTTTAGTGCACGCACGTACTTGGCACGTGCACCAAGTTAGAGGTGGTGTACCTGGAGTGCTGTGAGCCCTTCTTCCAAAGCTTCGTCTTTTATTGAGCATCAGACCTAGGTGATTCCGCAGAGAAAGAGATTAAAAGCTGTATCTCACGTGTCCAGTTCAGTCCAGAGCAAAAGAAGTCTTCAACTCAGCTATGAAGCATTGTTTTTAATAAAAATTGTTAAGGCTCTGGAATAATTGGCAACAAGCTCAGAGGGGACAAGGCTTGTGCATGCAAGGCTGGCACTCAAATCAGTCTCTCTTTTCCAAGCCAGAGTCTGCCTATTCTTTGGCAGTCATTTTGTCTTTAAACCTGAATTGCAAACTTTCAGTAAATGTTAAGTGCCTGTTTGTTTTTTTTTCCCTCCCCAGGAAGAAGAATGCCAACATGAATATGAAGTGAACTGTTTGCTGCGCTCGCCACAGCACCTGGGTGCTCACATCAAATGGTCAGAGACAGGGACTTGTCTCCTGCCAAACTGCTTCCTCGGACAAGATGAAGCCAAGGAGGAGCCTTCTGATGTGCTGGAGCCACAGTGACTGCTGCCCACTTTAAAATCGATGTAAGACTGTGCTCCGGCTGCCTGGCAGGATGAAAGAAGTGGTGTCGTGGTCACCTGAGGAGGTGACAAATTGGCTCATGGAAAATGCTGTGCCGGAGTACTGTGAGCCATTGAAAAGCTTCACCGGGCAGGATTTGATCAACCTGACGGAGGAGGATTTCAAGAAGACGCCTCTCTCCCGAGTATCGTCCGACAGCGGCCAGCAGCTCTTGCACATGATCGAGGCTTTAAAAATGGCTCATCACATAGAGGCTCACAAAAATGGGCATGTCAACGGGCACATCCGTGTCAGTGTTAACAGCACTGCACATGAAAATGGCTTGAGCAGTAAAACAAAGCTGAACGGAGTGCCAAATGGTTATAAGAAGAAGATGATAAAGATCCCCATGCCAGAGCCAGAGCGCTTGCAGTATCCCATGGAATGGGGCAAAACTCTCCTGGCTTTTATTTATGCACTTTTTTGTTTCATCTTTACCACAGTGACTATCTCAGTTGTTCACGAACGAGTGCCTCCCAAGGAGGTGCAGCCTCCCCTACCAGATGCATTTTTTGATCGTTTTGATCGGGTGCAATGGGCCTTTTCTATTTGTGAAATTAACGGCATGATCCTTGTAGGACTGTGGTTTGTTCAGTGGCTGCTGTTAAAATACAAGTAAGTAAAACTGTTTGGAAACTTGGTGTTCTAGGGTGTGCTTGTGATGGATTTGGAGGTCAGGTACAGTCCAAGTAAAGTGATGTTTCTTGTGGTCTTTCTGGTTTTGGTATCCCAGACTGAAATAGATGCCACACCACGGGTTCTGCAGTTTGTGTGGGCTGCTTGTACAAAAGCAGGGAGTTCTGCTACATAAGAAACTATGATCTCAATTGACTGCAGAGTTAATGTTAACCCTTTTAAAATGTGAAAAGCCTTGAATTGAGTGTAACTATGTTCTTAACTCATTTGACTGTCCTATCTGTAGGTGAGTGAACATATAAGTCATCATCTGTGAACTGATTTGGGAATTCTCACTGTAGTTTACTTGATGTTAAGGTCCTACCCTAAGATCACAGTATTTTCCATAGAATCCATAGAGTTGGAAGGGACCTTTGAAGGTCATCTAGTCCAACTCCCCTGCAGCAAACAGGAACATGCACAGCTAGATCAGCTTACACAGGGCCTGATCCTGCTTTACCTTGGAAGTCTTTTTTTCCTTATATCTAGCCTAAATCTACCCTCTCTAAGGCTCTTGAAGCCATTTCTCTCTGTTCTGTCACCACAGATTCTGTTAAAGAGTCTTTGCTGTAGCTCCTCTTTAGATACTGAAAGGCCTCTATCAGGTCACCATGGACCCTTCTCTTCTCCAGCACAGCCGCAGCTCTCAGCCTGTCCTGACTGGGGAGGTTCCATTCTGTGGATCATTTTTGTGGCTCTTGTCTGGTTACACTCCAACAGATCCATGTCTCTCCTGCACTGAGGACTCCACATCTGGATGCAGTGCTCCAGGTGAGGCCTCACCAGCACAGTGCAGAGGGGCAGGATCATCTCCCTTGCCCTGCTTATCACGCTTCTTTAGATGCAGCTCAGGGTATGGTTGGCTTTCTGGGTTGTGAGGGCACATTGCTGTCTTGTGTCCAGCTTCTCATCCATCCTTACCCTCAGGTCTTTTTTGGCAGGGCTCCTCGCAATCCTTTCATCCCCCAGCTTGTATTGGTAGTGAGGGTTGCCTTGACCCAGGTGCAAGATCTTGCATTTGGATTTGTTGAACCTGGGCCTACTGCTCAGCCTGTCTAGATCCCTCTGGCTGGCATCCCATCCCTCTGGTGTGTCACCGCACTCCACAGCTTGGTGTCATTGGCAAACTTGCTGAGGGTGCACTCGACCCCACTGTCAGTGTAATTGGTGAAGATATTAAAGAGTATTGGTCCTGCACTGGCCCTTACGGTACACCACTTGTCACTGATCTCCATCCAGATGTTGAGCCATTAACCACTAGTATTTGCAGCCAGTTCTTCATCCATTGAACAGTCTACCCATAAAATCCATATTTTCTAATTTGGAGAGAAGGATGTTGTGGGTTACTGTGTCAGAGGCCTTACTGAAGTCCAGATAGATGACGTTGGTGGTTCTTCCCTTGTACACTGACACAGTGACACCATCATAAAAAGCCACTAGGTTGGCCAGGCAGGATTTGCCCTCACTGAAGCCATGCTGGTTCTCTTCTATCAGCTCCCTGCCTTCAGTGTGCCTTAGCATAGCTTCCAGGGTGATCTGCATCATGATTTTTCCCAGCACAGAGTTGGGACTGACAGGATGGTAGTTCTCAGGATCACCCTTTTTACCCTTCTTGAAAATGGGCACAATGTTGCCTTTTTTCAAGTCAGCAGGGACTTCACCTGACTGCCACGACTTTTCAAATACCATTGAAAGTGGCTTGGCGACTACATCAGCTAATTCTCTCAGAACTCTGGGATGCATCTCATCGGGGCTCATAGACTTGTGGATGGCTCAGGTTCCTCAGGTGGTCATGGACCTGTTCTTCACTTACAGTGGAAGGGACACTGCTTTCCCAATGTCATCCTATCAAACCAAACATATGAGGTCTGTGTGGTGAGCAGTTGTTGGAGAAGACTGAGGCAAAAAAGTTGTGAAGTACTTCAGCTTTCTCCTTGTCTGTTGTTACCAGCCTGTTTGTGTCACTCACTAGGAGGAGTACACCCTCCTGGACTATTCTTTTCTGGTTGAGGTACCTGTAGAAGCCTTTTGTATTCTTGGCATCCCTAGCCAAGTTCAGTTCAAGCTGGGCCTGATCCCATCCCTACACATCCCAGCAGCTTCCTTATACTTCTCCCATGATGCCTTCCTGACTTGCTACACCTGGGGATGGAGAGCTCTTGTGCACTGAGAAAAGCTTCCTTAAAGATCTGCCAGCTCTGTTCCACACCCTTGCCCATGGGACAGTTTCCGAGGGTGTTTTGTTGACTGGCTCTCTGAAGTGCTGCAAGTTAACTTTCATAAAACTTAGCATCCTGATTTTACTCTTTACCTGTCTCATATCCCTCAGGACCATGAACTCCACCTCATCACAGTCACTACAGCCCAGGCAGTCTCCAATCCTGATGTCATCAATCAGGTCATTTGGGTTGGTGAGCAGCAAGTCCAGTATTGCATCCCTCCCTGGTGGGGCCACGCATTACTTGATTCAGAAAGTTATCCTCGGTGCATTTCAGGAGCCTCCTGGATTGCCTGCAGCTTGCCATGGTGCATTTCCAGCAGATGTCCGAGTGGTTGAAATCCCCCAGCAGGACAAGCACTTGCTGGAGGTAGCAGGCCTCATCAACAGGCTGCATCGACAGGCACTAAACAGCAGGCAGTGCTGTGAACCGAAGCAATGCTGCATTAAAACTTCTAAAGGACATTTTCTGCTTGACATTCAGTAGTACAGGTAATGTCAGGAACAGAGTATGTTGAAAGCTTATCATAAAATATGCAGAAGTGCGGATACACAGTGAATTTGCAAAGCTATTTGGGTACTTGCTTATACCTGCTCAGAATTGCAACAGAGAATTTGCTTGCCAGTGCAGTTCACCTACCTCTTGTCCTCTACACGGTGACTGTGCAAGTGGATGTTTAATTCAGTTTCTTTAAAATGCCATAAATCCATACCTTGGACTGCGTTGGAGTGTTCAAAGTTAGGTGGCTCTAAGCAACATCAAGTGGCATGTCGCCTTTCCTTTCTAAAACCAGGCAGAAGTGTGCTCTAGAGCTGTCTCGCCCAAAGGGGTTTTCCTCCTCTAACACAAGGTCTCTTTTTTTTTTTTATGTGGTTCCCATATTACAAAACAAAAACCAAAGAACAACAACAAAACCAACAAACAATAGCTGGAAGGCATCTAGTCTGTGCAGCACCATGTTAAATACAAGATCCTTTGGTTTGCAGGACTTTGTAATGACCTTAAAGTTTTCAGTTTCTCTTTTTCAAAACAGTAAAACCTGAGGTGGCAGCTCACTCACCCTTATAATGGAGAAAATTATTAAAACTTAAATGTATTCAGGTTGTTCACCAGCTTGCTAAGGTACAGGCAGCTGGAGAGAACTGCTGTGCTGGGGCAGGATACCTTTACGTAACAGAGCTGTAGATTTCCACAGCTCTCTGACAAATGTTTAAGCAATCTGATGCTATCAGTTTGTCATCCTGGGGACCTATCCCAGACATCCCAGCTTTTGCTGTGTATCTTTTCACTAATTAACTGTGGACAAGCACCTCCTATCGAAAAAAAAAAAACCTCACACATTTTATGAAATACAAAGGTCATTAATGAATATTGGAAAAATTGCTGTTGTTTATTCATCTTTATTGTTGCTTTATAAAAGTTATTGGGTTTTCTCTCCTGAAATTTTAAGACCATTGTGCATTTCCACGGAGTTTCTTAAAGGAAAGTTTCTAGAATGGTTAATGTAGTCCATTCTTATTATACAATGCTTAGAAACTGTGAAATTGCTTTTTTGTGTGTGTGTTCATGTATGTACAGGAAGAAGAATCTAACCTGACATGGTCTCTTGCTGTATAAGCTTCTGCGTCAGGCTCATGGTGGTAGCTGCAATACTGAGCTCTCTTTGCTGCTGTGGTCCTGTGATGAAAAGGGGAACCATAACTGGTGTCCCAGAGCAGAAATGTTCAAAACCAAGGGAAGAACCCAGAGAAGACCATGGGAAATTGCTTTCAAATGTGTGTTGGGCAGTACAAGGGTTCAAGCACACTGTGATGGATTAAGAACAGCAGAGTCTGTGAAGTGTTTGGAGATTTCAAAGCAATGAGAGATGGGTTAAAGTAATAGCAAGGTATTTTGGCATCCTTGGTAAATGTGGAGAGTTTTCCTTCTATTTGCTTGATGTGTTCTTCTGCTTTGGCTGTAAGGTGACGATGTTATGGAGTCATAGGTCTTTCCATTTGCAGTATCAGTCCTGGAACAGCTATTCTGTGCCAAGTCAGTATGAGTACTTGTTGCGTAACACATTAGAGACCTTTCTTCTTGTGTGTATAGAAGCAGAGTTGTCGTGGTCTGAGAGGCCTGGGCTATGAGTGAGGAGCAGAAAGGAACAGGGTCTGGTGATACAGCTTTGTCTAGAAGACCTCATTCTAATGGCTTTGGTTGGTAAACCACCAAGTGCTATAAAAGAACTGAATCACTTGGTGGAGAGCATTATCACCTCTCTTTGAAACTTAATTCAAGAATGAAGGGAGGAAATGAAGCCAGATGGACTTTTCTCACTTTCTTGAGCATCAGCAATGTCAGGGATAGCCATTGTTGCAGATGGGAAGGTGAGCTGTGAAGCCTGGTGGTTGCTGGGCAGGAGACCCATTTCTTCTTCTACTTAGTTGACAGAGCTACCACCTCTCAATATTTCTGAGGGAAAGTTTGGGATCACTTATGAGCCAGAAGCATGAGGTTGTCATTGTCAAGCAGGGAAACTCTTAATGCTTCTCACACCATATCCATTATTTACCAATAGCCTGATTTCATCCCATGTTTTTCTCCCAAGCGATGAAGGCTGATAGAGATGTGTCATTCACGATACCAATCTCTTCCTTGTTTTGTCCAGGCATTGCATGATGAAGGTGAATAGGGCCTACATGTCTTTTGATGTGCTACAAAACCAGACATGAAGTGGAATTGGATGCTGGTTGTATCCATCCAGCTAACCATGGTGCAGACTTGCAGATTGGTTCCTGCTAGTTCTTTCTTCTCCAGAAAATAATGTTAAAGTCAGGTAGATACTGGAGTTTTCTGTCTGCTCAGCTTGCTCAGCAGCAAGGGTTCTGGAGCAGGCATTAGGTGTATTAGAGGGAGATAAGCGCCTTCTTTCCTTGCATATCCTCACAGAATCCGGCCCCTGGTATTTTTGGCAAGGGGATTAGGTTGGTTTCACCAGAGAGCAGGAGTGGGGAGGATGCATGGGGCTTGGCTGGTTGCCCCGAGTGTTTTTCTATAGAGTGTGAGGAGCCCACTCAAGCAGCACGTATGTGATTAGTTAGTGTACTTGCTACCCATGTTGGGTAAGGTCTGGATAACTGTAATAATCTTTGCCAGTAATAAGCTTACAGCATACTTGTTAACTGGCTCACACACACATATGCCAAACCTTGCTGAAAGGGGAAAATATGGGGCCTTTTGGATTTTTTTTTTCTTTAATGCTACATAGCAGAGCATTTTGATGCAGACTTTCCTAACCCAAAGCACACTAAATCTACTTTAAACTAAGTAGATTCATGGGTAACGTTAACAAAAACGTTCATTGCTCAGTAAAACACTGCCACTTCTTTGGCCTTTCAAATGTGCTGCTGCTTTTAATTCCCCAACCCTACTCTTTGTTTTTATACAGGGGTATAAAGAGAAACAAGCTTGAGTGTGGTTAAAAAGCTGAGCATGTGTGAGAATGGATCACCTTTCCAAGGGAGAATTTTCTCATAGGAGCCACAGAGGAAAACCACTGCCCTGGTGGAGTGGTGTCTTCAGCACAAGGACTTTCCTCACTTTGGTGAATCTGATTCTACTACTCGGTCCATGCAGCTACACTAATGCAGTGTGCTGCTTAGCTCCCTGCTGCGTCCTTGGCTGCACTGGGAGGGGGAAAAGTCTCAAAGTACAGTGCTTCAGTAGCTGAGAGCACTCAGTGAGCACTCAAGTGCAAAATGCACTTGCACTGGAGGATTTGAAGCTTTTCTGATAAATTAGGACGCTCACGTTCTTATTGATCTGGCACTGCAAAGTTGAACTCCTCTGAGAGCAGAGCAATCAGTTTAATAACTCTGCCGAAAGCTATTAAAAGGAAAATACAACCAATGTTGAGCTATGAAACAACTTCAACTGCGTAAAAATATTATTGCATCTTTCAAAGTGAAAGCTTCAGAATAGGAACGAATGAATGTGAGGACTCACACCTTGTATTATAACCTTTGTATTCCCCAAATAACCTTAACTCTAGATAGCAGTGATTTAGAATCAACCAAAACCAAAGGGTCTGTAGCCAGCAGGATACAGCAGTGGTTAAAGTCTTGAGCTGTTGTAGCTGGGTCTGGCCTCCGTTATATAAAGCTATTGGTGATTTTTTTTCATGAAAAGCTGTGCAAGCTGATGGATGTGCTGGAAGCTTTTTTCTTGTGGTGTTGCCTGGTATGTAGCAGTTAAACTCAGTAGGCCTGGTTTGGAGCTGGCTGTTGCTTTTGAGTCAGACTTAAAACTGCTCTCATTGTGTTTACAAAACTTCCCTATGTTACCCCAAAATTGAGCAATTTATTGGCAGGCCTCAATGAATGAATCTCGTTTGCAACTGTGACTGCTTGCCTGGAGAGCGCCCTCCTACGAAAACACCCCATTCTGCAGCTGCTGCAGCTCTCAATCAGTATTTTGGACGTTCTATTGCTGATGTGAGCTGCTTTCTCCCTTAATGCTGCTCAAGAAATAAATGTTCTCATTCATTTGGGTCATACAAGCTATTCCTTCTACAGCATTCCTTTCTAATTACTAAGAGGTGTGTGTCAGCAGAAATTAACTTAGTCCTTTTCATCTTTTAATGAAAATATTGTAAGTTTATCGCCCTCCTTGAATAGAAAATTAGTGACCATTCTAAGCTAATGGAAGGGTGTGGGCATGAAATCCCTTGGAATGTTTTCAGCATTAAATCTGCTTAGGCATTTGTATTTTAATCCTTAAATTTCCTGTAGCCAACTTCCTGGGTAACGTTAGTTAGTTAACTAACCCAGTTAGTTGAGCCGTTTGTGTATTTCTGACCTGCAAAGCGTGGGAATATTTGTAAAGGAAGTCAGTATTCCTAGGTGAAAGCTGACATAGATGAACAAAGTTCCAAGTTTCAAAAGCGTCAAGAAGACCAAAGTTACTAGCTTGTGTGTTTTGTTTACCTTTCCTTATTGTATTTTCTTCTTTTTTTTCTTCTTCTAGGTCTATAATTGGCAGAAGGTTTTTTTGTATAGTTGGCACACTATACCTGTATCGGTGTATTACAATGTATGTAACTACACTCCCAGTACCTGGAATGCATTTCAAGTGTTCTCCAAAGGTAAACTTTTCACTAACTTTCTGTATTTTAATGATTCCCCTTGTCCCACCGTTGATAGAACTGTGGACAATGGTTTCGCAGTGATCGTTACTAATTTGAAAACAATTTGGCATGAGGGGGTGCTGGGAAGGTGGGAGTGGGACGGCAGCTTCCTTCTGCACATCTACATAGTTTCTGTAGCAGTTGTAACTGATTCGTAACGTTCAGCATTTTTCCTCTTTGCTAAAGCAGTTCAGGGTTGCAACCTGCTGTTAAACCCATTCATGATTTCTAGTTGAAAACGATCCAAGGAGACTTTTAAAAGTCAGTTTCACATGAAAGTCTTTGCTGCTATTAGTTCCTGGATATATTGCAGTTGTGTTAGTGCAAGGGCTTGACCCTCCCTGAGCTATCCCTGACTGTTTATTGTGCCACATGGGCTTACAAAAGCTGTGGTGAAGCCGAGTTACTGAGGTGTTGGTGTTCAGTCCACCTCTGTCACATAAGCTTCATGTCTTCATAAGCTTCATACATGAGATTTTTCTTCATAGCGTTCATCTCCTTGCCTCTCCTTGCCTCTACTGTAAGAGAAAAGGCAGAAATGTAATTTCTGTGAAACAGAAATTCTGTGGCGTGCAGGGTTCAGGGTTGTGTGCACAGCCATGAGGCAGATGACAAGCAGTAAAGCCATAAATCAAACCTGTGATTCAACTCGAGGCACGTGCTGTCACTGTTTTTATGAGGTTTGCTGAAACATACAAACCTGTGGTGCAAACAGGGCCAAAACACTTGAGTTCCTTGGGGAGGTAAAGCTAACAAACGTGCTTTATTGTTTGTTTGGCAGCGCAGAGCTTTGCCAAGCCACGTGTGGCTTCTTGAGGGACGTCAGTCTTTTGTAAAGAGAAGTAGAGGCTATAGAGTCAACAATGTATTTGATCAGTCAGCCATTATGAAATAAAAAAAAACCCACACAGATATTTATGGGCTAACCTGAGTACATCTGTCATCTCCAGAAATTTACAGCAAGTAGGGCTCGTTGCTCAAGTAAAGACAAGCCTATGTTGTGTTCTTTCATTGCTCTGCTTAAAAGCTTAGCTGAGCTTTCTTGAAAGCTTTAGATACCCTGGTGGGAAAAAATAACATCTCATTACCTTGCTCTTAACAATCACGGGGTGGGCTTTGGGAACATCTTAATGTTTCGTAAGGAATTGCTAGTAGGAAGTATTTGATTGCTACAAAGACTCTGCATAGATCTGTCCAGAAAGTACAGTTTCCACTTGTTAAAGCAAGAAGGAAGTTTAAAGCAAAGGAACAAGTTGCCTGTGATGGCTAACCAGGGCATTCTGTGTTCCTTCTGACCATTAAATGGATTGTAAAACTTAGTGAAATGAGGTAAGGATCCATCAGATGTGCAGTTGAGTGTGCTGACCCATTTGGCCTCCTCCAAACTCAGTTGGTTCCTGTGTCCGTTGGGTCCTGGTGGTGCTCAGTACCTCCAAGTTGTGCTTTCCCCACATTATCTTTGAGAATTTCTTTAATGGCTGGATTGATGTTAGGGCTGTGAGCAGCAAATACAAGGTCTAGGGACAGGGCCAGCAACCTGTTGGGCAACAAATCCAAGAGAAGGACTTGATTCGCTTTGGCTTTTCAAAGGCAAATGGAAGATATTCAGGAATGCCTTCTGAGCCAACAGTATGAGTTGCAGGTCATGCAGAGTGGATCATTCAGGTGTGGAGGACCATCCCTATTGGTAGTGTGGGTGTTGTGAACTGGAGCCCCTGCAGAGGTTTGGCTTGTGCTATGGTTTGTGCTATGACAAATCCCATTTATATTTCTTTTCTGATGTGAAGTGGGAAGAAATAGTTTTAAAACTTCTCAAAGCAGGGCAGGGGGATCCTTTAGTGTTTGTAGTGAGAAACTCAAAATGTGTGTTAAATCTGGCTTTAGGCAGCTTGGATGTCCAACTTGGGCAGTTGGTCTCATTTTCAGTTGGATTATCATCTGCAGGGCTTGCACTGTTACGAACAAGATGAATTAAATTAAGCTTGATTTATTTAAATTGTGTTGCCTCTTGAACAGAAGGGGAAACAGATGTTTAGCAATCATGAGAAATTTCTAACTATAACTGGAAATATTTTTATCTCCTTTTCTTTTTGCGAAGCTGGATTTTTTGAGACTATTACAGAATTCACATGTTTTGCAGTAGTCCTTATTCTGCTCCTCACTGTACCTGTGGGGCTTATAAAAGGACATAATGAATGAAAAATCTGAACCCCTTATGTGGTCTTGAAGATTCCCATTACAGTAGTTTCCCGCACAGCCTCAAACATTGACAACACTGCCAGCAAGGCCTTGGAGAAAGATAATGCCTTTTCATGGTAGCAGCAATAAGTACTTATAAATAGCAGCAGTTTCCTGCTCACTTACCTGTTTTACCCTTAGTTCCTTACTCGGTGTGGCCACTGACAGGAAGTTGACACTTCTTGGACCTTTCTTTGATTTGGTATCAGACTGAAAGGTGCCATGTTTCTCATTGCAACCAGATGTGACATGGTATAGGGCTTTTTTGCACATATACATACATTCATGAATATCTGTACGGATAAATAATACTGCCTCTTCTGTCTGTCTTGTGGGTGCAGGAGAAAAAACGTAATCCTTTGGGATATTGTATTTGTAGGAAAGTTGCAATAATTTTCTTGGTTCTCTCTCTTGAGAATACTTCAGATAACAAACGAATCCAGGCGTGTGCAGCCTGTGCTCACATGCAGACTTCCCTAATGCACACATTACTGAATAAATTCGTTCATATCAAGGCAAAAGGAGAGAACAAGTGAAAGACAAACAGCTGACTGATGGCGTGCTTTAAATTTGGAAAGGTTAGCAGTGATATGACATCATTCACTTGCGGTTTGCTCTTCCACCAGCTTTTTGGAGACTGGGAATCTCACCTGCGAAGGATAATGAAGCTGATAGCTGGCGGAGGATTGTCCATCACAGGATCCCACAACATGTGCGGCGACTATCTGTACAGCGGGCACACCGTCATATTAACTCTCACATACTTATTTATCAAAGAGTGTAAGTATGTTCATCAGGAATCTCCTGTTGTATACATTCCCAGCTCATCAAAGAATGGCTGCTGTGCGGATTGGTAAATACCGCTTCAGTGGAAGTGCACCTGTTCCCATGAAGTAAAAGAAATACAACTTCGAGGACATAGATTTTACTGAAAAAGAAAACTTTGGAGACAAAATACAACACCTTCCCATGTGCATGTCTGAAGTATATATCTGAATTCCAGTGTTTTAACTAGAATATAGTTTATACCTTCATTGAACCGTGCCCCGTGGATGGTATTTTAACTGCATCCCCTTGTCTAGAGAGATGGATGCCGGGGTCACTCATTTTGCCTTTTATGAAAAGCAAGAGGAATGGATTGTCAGCTATGTAGAATTAATGTTGAGGTATACAGCAGTTAATTTTACAGACCAGGATATATCAGATTTTTATGTATCTGGCTTGTTTCTCTAAGGTTTCATAACCTTTCTATCAAGTGTTTAATCACTTCGAAGTACACTAGAAAGCTGCACCCTGACAGAATGGTGGTGCTTTTGTCATCTCAGCATTCCTGCTCTTAATCTCAACTCTTCTACCCACCCAGGATTGCAGTGTGCATCCTCTTCTAATTACAGCAATGGTCCTGAGTGCTGATAATGTTTTGAAATCATGGAATCATCTCAGTAGGAAAAAACCCTTAAAGTCATTTAGTTCAGTCTCTCTGCAGTGAACAGAGATGCGTACAGCTCAGATCCCATCCAGGCTGACCCTTCTTGTCCCCAGGGACGGGGCAGCCACTGCCTCTCCAGGCAACCTGTGCCAGTGCCTCATCACCCTTATTGTAAAAAACTTCTTCCATGTATCCAATCTAAATCTTCCCTCTGTTAGTTTGAAACCCTTTCTCCTTGTCCTATTGCACAGATCCTGCTAAAGAGTCTGTCCCCTTCTTTCTTACACCTCCCCTTTAGACACTGACAGGCTGCTCTTAGGTCCCCCCGGAGTCTTCTCTCATCCAGACTGCCCCAGCTCTGTCAGCTTGTCCTGGTAGGAGAGGTGTTCCATCCCTTGGGTCATTTTGATGGCCCTCCTCTGCATGCTTCCTAACAGCCTGCTTGTGCTTCTTTGCAGATTCCCCACGGCGACTCTGGTGGTATCACTGGCTTTGCTGGACGCTCAGCATGGCTGGGATGTTCTGCATCCTCCTTGCTCATGACCACTACACTGTGGACGTGGTGGTGGCTTACTACATCACTACAAGACTTTTCTGGTGGTATCACACAATGGCCAACCAGCAAGTAAGTTTCTCCCAGTCTTTGGATCCTTATGACTCTGTTTGCTATATTGTGGTGGGAGTGAATATCCACACATTGTCCTGAGCCTTTCTGCAGGCATCTGTCCCTCTGGAGCATCTTGCTCTTCCTTTTCATGATGGGCTTACAGGAGAAGAGGCAGTGTTGTTTGGTTTTATCTTGTGTCTCGACTGCAGAAAATATTTGAAGGCTTGCCGTAGGCTGTGTAACCTGAGGTTTTGAAATCCCTCTGAATTTGGGCAGTTTTTGTTGTGTTCTAACATAGCTTATAGAGGTAACGCTTTTTTGCACACAGTGAATTAAGAGAAGTTATCCTAGACTTCTCTTAGGCCTGTAACAACTAATCAGTGTCCAGATATTTTCTGTGCAACATGGAGAAGGCATTTTACATAACTGTTGCATTCAGTAGCAGTTAATTATGTTTGACAAAGACCCAGTATGATAGTAGGAAATGAGTTAATACTGTGGTGCTGATTTTCAGTTCATACCAAGGTCTATATAGCTACTGTGTCGTATGCTATTCCTCCTTTTTTGTGCTACTTGCAGCAGCACCCCCAACCTTGTTGCATATTTCTGCTTCCAAATGCCTGATGCAGATCATGCAGTTTCATGTTCATTCACTTCGGAAGCTACGGTGTTCATTAAAGTCTGTGCCTGAACTTCCTGTTGTCACACAGCACTCAGTTGGCTTCCATGCCTCAGATTTCCCAAAGTCTATCAAAATGCAGCGCTGAATGGTCATGTTTCCAGCTGGGAAGCTACTGAAGCTTTGAGTTCTGATGAGAACATGCTTCAGAAGAGCTCTTTGCCTTACTGTATGGACATATATCTCTTTTGCGGTGTGCTGAGGCTCAGAGGAGATGGCTCAGCACTGTTACCCTCATCTGCTAAGATGCTGGGGAATATTGATTGCTGGATCCTTTCCTGAGCATGTGTTTGTGTCCTATTATCTGTCCCTGGTGCTGCTCCCTGTGCCGTGGCTTGTTTGTGACCTTAAAAAGCTCCTTTCGGAAAGTGGATTTTTTTACATGTGAGTTTATGGGATAGAAAGAAAGCTTGATGTGCAGGCCCTGTGCTTGCACTTCCCAGTGGGCTGATGCCTGGCTTCCCTGCTGTGGTACAGTGAATGTGCAGCAAGGTGCTCGCTTGACTCCCTCAGCACCTGCCCACTCCTTTTATTTCAGCTGTGGCTTGCTCATAGCCGAGAGCAGTAAAAAGGGTGGTGGCTGTGGTGTGAGTGCACACCAAGGCCAGGGCAGGTTTTTTGCCTCTTCCAGATGGGCCAAGGCATGCACACAGCTGGGCTCCTGGTAGAAAGGTGAGATTGACCTTTTATGACATGCAGTTTTTCTGCTTGGAGCTGTTGTTGAGCAGCTGAGGGCTTGGAAATGATGGCAAGTGTCACTGAGGTGCAGCAGGTTCTGTGTGCAGGGAGGCTGTGGAAAGGCAGCTTGGCTGTTTGGCAGATCTTTGTACAGATTTGTTCAGCAGATACCTCAAGATGCCAAGAGGTTTTTGGAAACAGCTGTAAGCAAAGGCCAGCGCTGATACATGGGAGTGATTGTCAAACAGTGAAGTCATGCAGGAGGTGCGCTCTCTTATAATTCTGTTTTCTGACTGTCCGTCTGCAGGTGCTAAAAGAAGCTTCCCAAACCAACCTCCTTGCAAGGGTCTGGTGGTACAAGCCTTTCCAGTACTTTGAAAAGAATGTCCAAGGAATTGTACCTCGCTCCTACCACTGGCCCTTCCCCTGGCCGGTGCTGCACCGGGGCAGGCAGGTGAAATACAGCCGGCTGGTGAATGACACATAGCAGCGTGTTGGTGGACAGAGGGGGAAAGGGCCCGTCCCAAGTGCTAAGAACTCCATGCAAGAAGATGCCATAAAAAAAAACAACAAAGCAACCCCAACCCCTCCCTAACCCTTTCTTTTAACAGCTCCCTTGACTTAACCTATTCAGTTACCTGGTAAGCACTGTGATCTTTTTTTTCCTCTCCAAAGGATCTGCGTTGGACAACAATAAAGAGAATTTAACTTATCACGCACTGTTATACATTTCTTGTTAATAGATTTGGGATTTCCATTACCCATCACCGTGTTCCTTTGTATATGATGCGACAGCATAAATGAAAGCTTTTATACCATAAGTTCTGGTCTTTCCAGTCATGTCTGGGAATAACGCGTATTATTTTCTTGGGAAAACATACTTTTCATATCTCTTGCCCCAAAGATTGGGCTGTAAGCCATTTTCTAGCTAATGACTCTATGAAGGTTTCTGATACCTGCCTCGGGTAAATCGAGAAATCTTTCTACCTGTTGCACCGCGATACAAGCGAGATGATAGACACAGGAAGGTTTGCTAATCTTGGTTTTGTAGACTCTGCAGTGACTGTGTCAAAAAGTGCAAAAAAAAAAAAAAAGAAAGAAAAAAAAAAGTTGTAAAGTGATTTTCTAAGTATTTCCTAACTTTATTTTTCAAAATGTGTATGAAAATTAAATTTGAAAAGATTTTTACATGTCAGAGAATAGAGAGTTAAAATTTAAAGAAAATGCTTCTTGGGAGAGAGAGATTTGTCTATGTTTCTAGTGCCTTTCTTGTCTTGATTGTATGGTCAGTAGGCAGTCTTAAATGTTTTTATTTAAAATAAAGTATTCCATGAAAGCAGAAATATATATACTGTATAATTACTAATTTTTGCATTTATAGCTAAATTAAACTGGAAATTTGCTTATGATGTTGAAATTGCCATGGGTAGGGGTAAACCAAAAAAGAAGGGTCAGATCTTGTTCACACATTGTGAGCAGATCGTACTAAAAGAAATCACTTTATTGTCTACTTGGTAGCTGTGTTTTAATAAGAAAACAGCCATGAATTCCCGTTTTTTAAGAATTTTACAAATGATCACTGAGTGAACTACAAATGGTTTCTCCATCCCATATTGAGCTGTTGTTGGAAAAACAACAAAGATAATCTATTTCTTTAAAATATTTGTGCAGAAACTGCATGTAACTATAAGTTTCACTCCTACCATACATACTGTATGTCTGGGGAAGTATTCTATCCTAAACTTGCCAATGTGCAGAACAAAATAGTTTTTTTTAAAGAATGAAGAAGAGAAAAAAAATATATGAATATATATATATATATATACATTCTGTATTTTACGTGAAGCAGAGTTATCTTCTGTAGGGTTTTTGTGTATTCACAAGGTGATATTTGTATTGTAAAACAACAATGGTGAAGGAAAATAAAAAGGCTTTTGAAAAATGTAGTTTCCTTTATGTTTCTAGTATTAATCTTAAATTTTAAGCTAGGTTTAATCTTCCCGACCTTGCCTTTGATTTTACATGTAATTGCACTGTAGGCCATCAAATTGTATGGAAACTGCATTGCTGTTGAATTGCTGTTCACCGTTGGCAAACCAGTGCCTTGTCTGAAATAAATACTATGCAATACATTCTGACCATGTGGGAGCTGGGAGCGGATCTGAGAAGCCCTCCTTGGAACCATCCCCAGGGCTTGAAAAATCTACCCCAAAAGTGCAGTGGCAGAGCGTGTGGCAGGGCAGGCAGCCGGCAGCCCAGGAGCTGCCCAGAATGTCCCACTGTTGTGAGTTCTTGATGGTGACAGTATCACTTTTTGCTTCTTCTGGTTTAGTTTAGGGTTTTTGGTGGTGGTGGTGATGGTAGCATTTTATCTTTACTTTTCCGCCCTCTTTTCAACCTCCTTGAGGAATCATTCCTGTGTTACTTCTGCTGCTTTGCCTCGCCGTTGCCTGGGATGCTGAGCAAGATGAGCCCGTTCCTTAGAAGCTCTCCCTGGAAGGGAGAGGATTTCTTCCTATTCCACATTTCTTGGCAAAAGCCCTTTGCAGCAGTATTTGCAGAGCCATCTGCAAGTTTTAGGGATTAGCTCTGCATGCTTTGCCTTCAGTTCACAGTAATTGTCTTTGCAAGTGTGCGGTTGAAAGCTGATTTTAAAACAGCAAATCCATCCCAAGGCGATTGCTTGAGAGAATTCACGCTCCCAGATGTAAAAGAATAAGTAGATTTTTCAAGACCTGGCATCACGCACATCAAAACCATTGACATAAGTAATGTATGGATATATGCACATGACATTAAATGGAATCTGCTGAATTCTGCATTGTAGTGTCTGACTTACTGCATGGGTCTTGCTGAACATGGCTTCGTTTTGTTTGTTCACGGCAGAGCTGTGCTTTGGTAAAGCATGCTGTGCTGTCATGAGAAATAATGGGGCAGGCAGGGATGCCGAGCCCAGCAGTGCCACACTGAGTTCTGCATTTCCCCCAGGATGCTCAGGTATGATATGTGTACCCACTTCTTCTGCATTTGCTTCCTGTGATGGGCATCTGTAAGGGCACTTAAAAATAATGAGAAGTAAGGTTTTGAGGCATATCTGTTTTTCTGGGGTAAAACATAGCATGTCCAGGGCAGACCGGAATTTGAAGGAGACATCTCCAGACGTACAAGTTGGAAAAAAAAGAAAAAAGGGCTCAGAACCGAGAAGGACCCTGCAGTTGTTGGTGTCTGGGAGAAGTAGCTGAGGTCTTTCTCTGGGAGTGGACCTGGGTGAGTCCCCACGTTGCTGCACACCACTGTGGCTTTGTTTTTGGCTCTTTCAGGTGGGGAAGGTTTCAGAATTCTTAAAGTACAAGGAGGGAAGGTTCTTGAGCACAAGCCAAGCAAAGGCAATGAAAGCTTTGCTTTTTGGTACTCTGCATAGAGCACAGAGGTGGTGAAGCATTTGCATGGTGCCTCCTGGTGTTGCCTGTGTAACCCAGCAGGAACACACACTGCAGAAAATGGACTCTTGCACCAGCTCAGTGTTTTGGCTGCACCTTTGTTTTTCTCCAAACCTGAGCTCATCTGTGCTCTGAGTGTCTGCTGGTGAGCACAGGGCTGAAATCGTGATGTTCTGCAGCAGGAGGTGCTTTTTGCTGCCACTTTGTGAAATTTGCTTGCAGAGGGTTTCCAGCAGCATCCCCAGCCCTGCTGGTTGCCATCATCGGCAAGTGTAGGTATGGATGCATGTAGAGCAGCCCATCTTAGTCGTCACTTTCTACTCAATTATTGTCCATAAAATGTCAGCTGGCGCTAGCTTGGGAAGGTCCTCCCCAGTTCTGTTTTGTCATTTTCCCATCTCTGGGCCCAGTGAGCAGGAAGAGATTCCCAAGAAGAGTTTCCTGGTCTTGTACTGGAGCTCTTTGGTATCCAAACGTGACCAGACACCAAGTTGTTGAAGGCCTCCAGGTGGAGGGGGTCAGCCTGGGGCAGCGTGGGCTGAAGCCTAAATTTGCTGCATGGCTTCTTCTGATGTCTCCTAAGCACAGAAAGCACTGCTGGCTGGCCTGAGGGTCCCAACCTCCACCAGTCCTGCAGCTGCAAGGGTGCATCTCCATCCCCGAACATTGCGACACAATTCTGGAGCCCAAGGGTCTCTCCCTTGCAGCTCTTTGTGATGCTTTGGGTTACTTCTGTGGACCTTTGAGGTGCTGTTTCAAATCTTTGTGTACACAGAAATGGGCAATGAACAGCAGTTGGTTTAAGTTAATTTTGGCTTATCTCAGCTTCTTGCATGTGGGTCCAGCAGCCAGGGCTGTAAATCTGGGCATGGACAGATCTTTTTGCCTGCCCATGTAGTTGAGGTGGTTGAGCCTCTGCTATCACTTATTTTTTCATTTCCACCTAGTCTTATAGGCTTCAAGGAAAACAGAACGAGAAGAAGCTCAGAGGCAGTCACTGAGGTGGCATCTGATTCTACATATCACCATTTCCTCGGTTTCTCCCACAGCCCAGCCCTTCACCTGATGGAGTTACCTGCTGCTGTCGGGGTGCTTTGGCTGGGAAATCAGGAGGGGAGATCTGCGTGGTGCTGCCTGATTCACCTTGCCTGTCTCTGCCAGAGCCCCGAAGGATTTTGCTGATGGCTTTGCTCGGAAACCTTATCTGCTGTCATCAGGATCCATATAAAAGGGACTTTGGACATTCTGTATTAAATAAGCAGCATTATGCAAAAGGCTTCAGACTTGCGTTCCCTTCTCACAAGTTGGGATCCCAAGCTTTGGTGAACATCTTGAGTCTGGACAAACAGCAAACTCCCACTGAGAGCTGATCCTTGTTCCAGGCCCCTGCTATAGACACCAGCTGTGCAAAACACAGCACAAACAGGTTTGAAAGGAAGTTTCCATTCTCTGAATGCCAAAGTCTGTGGTGTGTCACTGCTTCGGGGTACCTGCTGTGGCTTCCCCGGCTCCCAAATAATGCGGTGTTGATGCTGCTGCTTTCAGTGTCTGCAGTGTCTGCCAGGTTTCAGTGGCACAACGCATTCCAGCCCAAGGAAGAGAAGCCTGGGCAACGCCGTGCATTTTTTGGGGGAAAGGAAATGTCACTCTATTCATTCCCTGTCCATCCTTCTGACAATGCCCTGCGGAGGCAAGCAGAAACTCATGGAATTGTGCAGCAGGTCTGACCTGTCCCCTGCTATGTGCATGCAGCTCCAGTCAGTCGGTATCTTCTGGGCTCATTTTGCTGCCTTCCTGTTGTTTAAATTCATCAAAATTAGGGCAAGTTCTGAGACAGACTTTTGAGGATAGTGAAAGCCCAAGCCTCATCCAGCAGACAGAGACACCAGCCAGCAGTATTTTGCAAGAACAAATCAGTGGGCTTTCACCCCAAATGTGAGGCCGCTTTCCATACAAATTGAGGTTTTAATTGCAATGCAAATGAGCTGCCTTTTGGCTCTCATGCTGATTCTCTTGGCCGAAACTCAGCTGGCTGTGCAAAAACAAGGCGGCAAGGTTGCTGTCCTGATGATGATGTTGGACAGAAATGCAGATACCCTTTAGGGGTTTCTTTTTTCTGCCCAGCACTTGCAACATTACCTCAAAGAGAGATTTTTAATTGGAATTTTTAACAGATGGAGCATTTTCTGTCCGTTAGGCTTGGGAATGTTGTGGTAAATTCTTGGTGGGGATAAATGGCTTCCTGGCTTGCCTCAGACACTGCGCACCTATGAGTTACCAAAATGAGTTGTTGCAAGGAGGGGTTTGGATGAATGTCTACCACATGCCAATGAGATGAGTCAGAATGAGAATTGGGAGAAGGAAAACAAAGGGGAAGAACAGACAAATAAGCACTCTATTTGGTTAGTCTCTCTCTTTTGTGGTCTGCTCAAATTTGTATTCGCATTGGAGGAGCATCTAGAAAGCAAGGACAGATGGAAGTCCTCGGTGTCCCATCGGTACCTTTGCTTGTGTCTCCTCCATCCTTTCCTGAGCACCGACACTGGAAGATAAGGATGGAAGGATTCAGGTTCAGGCGGTTCATGAAGACGATTGTGGCTCCTGTGGATTTGTAAGAGAAGAGCTGGAAGTCTCTGTCACAGGCTGCCTAAAGAAGCTGTGGTTTCCCCATCCCTGAATGTGCTTAAGGCCCATCCTCATGCATTGAGGATGCCCACCACAGGGGATTGTCACTGGGTGGGCTTTAAGGTCCCTTGCAACCCAAGCAATTCTATGGTTCTATAAGACAAGCACACCATCACTATACCAGCTCTTGAAAAGTCAGTCTCACAATGAAGAGCCAATACATCACCTTTGGAAAGAGTTCATGTTCTGCCAATGCCCCGCCTATTCCCATGGCATCCTGCCTTGCAGGCTGTTTGCCACCAACAGCAGGGCCAGCACGTTCCATTGGTATCACAGCAAGCAGATAACGTATCAAGAAATCTTACTTCTCCCCACCAGCCAGCTTGAAATCTGCTGAGACTTAGCAAAATACTGGAGGGAACCTTGAATCCATGACTCAGGTTGCTCACGGAGATATTAACCCTTTGGATTAGGAGTATGATAGAAACAGGGATAAAAGTGGAAAACAACATCTGCTTTGATGTTTGGAAGCTGAGTAGGATGGAAAAGGTATGTGGTTCCATCCTTAAATTCCCTAGTTAGTTGTAGTACCCTAGAAGGCCTTAGAAGAGTATATCCCTGTATTTGAGCTCATCCAGTGAAGTCTGTCAAACATTGGGAGCAATCTTCCACAGGGACTGGAGATCACAGCAGGATCCTGCAGGCAGCTCAGGCAGTGATGAGGCAAAGAGGAGGGAACAGGCCTGCTGCTAAGTTCCTGGTGCACCAGAGGTGATCTATGCAATCCTAAAAAGGTTGTGTTGAAGAGACAGACACTGTTCATAACTTAAATGAATGGAAAAACTCTGCCTGCTTTCGCAGTAAAAGTTATTGATCTGTTTCCCCTTATCTTGCATGGAGCCTGACTCACAGGGCTATAACAGCAGTAATTTTCAAGCTGGACTTTTCATCAGGTTTCAAGCAGGAAGATGTTCCTCCAACCCCTGGGACACGTGAGAGACCACAGGTACAGAGACAGAATTGAGCATACCAAAGCCTCACAGCACCCAGAACACCAAAACCCTTGGAGGCTGCGCTGCAAGGTGAGTTTGCATGAGGTGTTGTTGAGATTCTGTGGTACTATTTTTCACTTTTTACTATTACTCCAGCTATTTAATCACTTGGAGAAATGAATGTAATCCTATTGTGTGGATGTGTTTTGGGATGGCACGGCGATAACAATTACCCAGATAGGTTGCGATATGTGATAGGATGCCAGCTCCTAGTTTCTGTACTAAAATGCAAAGCCAAGAAAGGGGAAGGAAGGGAACACATAATACTATGTTTCTTACCACTAAAAGGTTTGTTAGGTGAAATTCAGCAGTGATCACAGCTGCTTTATCTCTCTGTGGCAAAAGAAACTTATAGAGAGGTCATCTATAGCAGATTTGGGTGACTGGCTCATTGCCATGCTTCCGAGACCATAAATTTCCTCTCCAATTGTGGGTCCATCCTCCATGCTGAGACACAGCCATAGGGGCAAAACACTGTCACTCAGGCTGGCAGTTCCCACATTGCATGGGGCCATCTCCAGGAAATTTGGCACCACCACCAAGAATGGAGATTCCCAAAGATCCTCAGAAATCTGCCCCTTTGGGCAGGTATGTGCATCAGACAAAGGCAGAAGCATATAAAGGAACAGGATTTGTGGCCATTTTGTGCACCTAAGTATGTTTGAAAATGCCCAGAGTTGTCTTAAAGGCTTATTTCTGCCT